TCTAGTCTATAGTCTAGTCTATAGTCTAGTCTATAGTCTAGTCTATAGTCTAGTCTATAGTCTAGTCTATAGTCTAGTCTATAGTCTAGTCTATAGTCTAGTCTATAGTCTAGTCTATAGTCTAGTCTATAGTCTAGTCTATAGTCTAGTCTATAGTCTAGTCTATAGTCTAGTCTATAGTCTAGTCTATAGTCTAGTCTATAGTCTAGTCTATAGTCTAGTCTATAGTCTAGTCTATAGTCTAGTCTATAGTCTAGTCTATAGTCTAGTCTATAGTCTAGTCTATAGTCTAGTCTATAGTCTAGTCTATAGTCTAGTCTATAGTCTAGTCTATAGTCTAGTCTATAGTCTAGTCTATAGTCTAGTCTATATAGTCTAGTCTATAGTCTAGTCTATAGTCTAGTCTATAGTCTAGTCTATAGTCTAGTCTATAGTCTAGTCTATAGTCTAGTCTATAGTCTAGTCTATAGTCTAGTCTATAGTCTAGTCTATAGTCTAGTCTATAGTCTAGTCTATAGTCTAGTCTATAGTCTAGTCTATAGTCTAGTCTATAGTCTAGTCTATAGTCTAGTCTATAGTCTAGTCTATAGTCTAGTCTATAGTCTAGTCTATAGTCTAGTCTATAGTCTAGTCTATAGTCTAGTCTATAGTCTAGATAGTCTAGTCTATAGTCTAGTCTATAGTCTAGTCTATAGTCTAGTCTATAGTCTAGTCTATAGTCTAGTCTATAGTCTAGTCTATAGTCTAGTCTATAGTCTAGTCTATAGTCTAGTCTATAGTCTAGTCTATAGTCTAGTCTATAGTCTAGTCTATAGTCTAGTCATAGTCTAGTCTATAGTCTAGTCTATAGTCTAGTCTATAGTCTAGTCTATAGTCTAGTCTATAGTCTAGTCTATAGTCTAGTCTATAGTCTAGTCTATAGTCTAGTCTATAGTCTAGTCTATAGTCTAGTCAATAGTCTAGTCTATAGTCTAGTCTATAGTCTAGTCTATAGTCTAGTCTATAGTCTAGTCTATAGTCTAGTCTATAGTCTAGTCTATAGTCTAGTCTATAGTCTAGTCTATAGTCCTAGTCTATAGTCTAGTCTTAGTAGTCTATAGTAGGCTATAGTCTAGTCTATAGTCTAGTCTATAGTCTAGTCTATAGTCCTAGTCTATAGTCTAGTCTATAGTCTAGTCTATAGTCCTAGTCTATAGTCTAGTCTATAGTCTAGTCTATAGTCTAGTCTAGTCTATAGTCTAGTCTATAGTCTAGTCTATAGTCTAGTCTATAGTCTAGTCTATAGTCTAGTATATAGTCTAGTCTATAGTCTAGTCTATAGTCTAGTCTAGTCTAGTCTTTTTTTTTTTTTTTTGTTGCGCAGGAGGTGTGGGAAATCTTCAAAAGATGTATTCAACCCGTGTTGAAAACATGCACGACTCGCCTAAGCGTCTACGTACTAAACCACACCCCCTTCCGTCCCAAAACCCCGTGTGACTGCCAATTGGTATTACTTCGCGGGGGCCGGTTTGCCTGTTATCGGCTATTCATCGATTTCTCTATTTTCGGCTTACACGCCGCCTTGAGTTACCTTTCGGTGTCTTTCTAATTCGCATAATTGTCTATGTACTGCTGTGAGAAATTGATTAAAAGCATTCCAGTTTTCTTCGGCTTTTATAATATTATTTATGATATTGTCTACCGTTATATCTTCGCCAATGTGGAGGATCAGCCTCGATCTGAGTGCGTCAAACCGTGGACACTTGAATGTTACGTGTTCTGCGGTTTCGTCTTCTTCAGGGCATTGTGTACACCTTGGAGAGTTGTCGTGTCCGTATTTATGAAGATAACTTCTGTATCCCCCGTGTCCTTTGAGAAATTGAGTGAGGTTGTAGTTTACCTCACCATGTTTTCGATGTACCCAGGCTTGTATACGTGGTGTTAATCTGTATGTCCATCTACCTTTTGGAGAATTTTACCATTTTCTTTGCCAACTTGCCATAGTGTGTTCCTTTTCGATTTCCCGAATATGGTTTCTGGGTGTTTCGTCATTACTTGCAAGTTGCTTGTAAACGTTTGCAAGTTCTTTAGCTGGAATTCCCGCAAAAACGCTTGCCGCCTCTACAGATATTGTTCTATAGCCGCTACAGACTCTTAGACAGTTTCTCCGGTATACTGAGAGAATATGTTTTTTCGAACAGTTTCTTATCGACGACTCCCAAATCGGAGCTCCATATAGAATCACCGAGTTAGTGACTCTGGATAAGAGTAGTCTACGACTCTGGCGTGGACCACCAATGTTTGGCATCATTCTTGATAACGCATTTGTTATTCTTGCAGCTTTCTCGCACGAATAGCTTATGTGCTCTTTAAAGTTGAGTCGGTCATGGACCATGATTCCCAGATATTTTATTGCCTCTACGGATGTTATTGAGCTATCACCTACCTGTATTGTTAGGGATTCTCTCTTTTTCTTTCCGCTTATAAGCACTAGTTCTATTTTCTGTTCCGCTAGATAAAGGTTCATTGAAGTTAAACATTTCTTTATCGTACTAATAGCTTCGTTCGCATAGTCTAGTCTATAGTCTAGTCTATCGTCTCGTCTATAGTCTAGTGCAATATCAGATTAGGTGAATTTATCTCAGAAGCAGAAATGGTCTAGTCTATATTCTAGTCTATTTTCTAGAATATTGTCTAGTCTTTAGTCTAATCTACAGTCTAGTCTATATTCTAGTCTGTAGTCTACTCTATCGTCTAATCTATCATCTACTTCTATTTCAATATCAATTTAAGAGAATTTATCTTTAAAGTAGAAAACGTGTTTTAAAAGGACCTCAAGGATAATATTTTAAACACTATGAAATTTACTTTAAAAAGTTAATTAAATTTTTTAAATTAATTCATTTTTTTTTTTTTAACCAAAACATTTCCATCAACTTAGATCAGCATTATGTAGAGTGCATTAAAATTTAAATAATGCCATTTCTATTTTGCTTAATTTAATAAAGACAAAAAAATTGCATTTATGTCTTTAAACATTATCTACATACATACAAACATATTCTACTGTACACAGACAGATGTATGCATACAAATTCATTTTAATTTTATAATTTTATTTTCATATAAATAGTACATGTATATTTTTTGTATTTTAGTTCTTTTTGTTTAATTTTATTTTGCATTTAGTTAAAGTTTTTCTTGCATTTTAATAAGTGCTGAAAAACATTACATTTTAAATATTTTACTAAATTATTTTTTTCTTTTTCTGGTTATTTAATGTTTTGTTTTAATTTTCTGTAATAATAAATATAAAGTAGTTACTGAGGAGTTTTTAGCAACCCAGCAAAACAAAGAATAAGGGCATTTTTTTAACTCATTCCGGAATGAACCTAAATATGAGTGATATATTAAATAGTAATTTAGCAAATCTGATGGATTCCAAAAAAATCTATTTAGCAAATATATAATTTCTATGAGTTTCAATAAAGAGCTAATTAGAAAATTATTATTATCATGCAAGATGTGCTATTGCTGATAACTTTGCTGGGTTTTATTGTCTGTTTATTGAAATTTCATTTAAATTTTCCTTAAAATGAAATTTTAAATTTTTTATGGCTGTTTAAAGTCTTAATGATTCTTTTCTTTCAATGAGTAGCAGAGTGTGTATATGTGTGTGTTTTTGTTAAATAAAATTTATGTTTATACTTTGACATATTTTTAAAAAGCACACAATTAAATTCAAATCATTAAGTTTTCAACAAGTAATTTTTGTGTTATTTTTTTTTCTCATCCACTATTTTATTGTTCTTTTAATTTGCAAATAAAAATTAGAAAAAAAAAAGAAATAATTGAATTGATTGTTATTTTGTTAAAACGTAAAACCTCGATAAATAAATTTTTATTGCGTTTGTATGGTTGATAGGTAAAGCAAATGGTTTGAAGGTGTTGTTAAAATGGATGGGAAATAAACTTTTTGAAATAAAATTAAATAATTTTAATAAAAATTGTTGGAATAATATATAAGACTATATTTTTAAAGATATTTTTGGTTCTTGGGCGTTTGGCTCAAAGTTAGATTTAAGACAAATTATGGAAAAATTAAAAAATTTAAAAATAATTAAATTTTTTTAAAGAAATCTCTCATAACAATTGTTTGTCATTACACAGAGGAAAAAATATACACGCCTGGTACCAAATTGACACCAAATTTTTTAATAACATCCGTTGTCAAGTTAAAAAACATGGTAAGCTCAAAATGCGTTTTAAATAGTGAGCTTACCACGTTTTTTAACATTTAAACAACGGATGTGCATAAAGTTTAGATTGCGACAACGAATCGTTGCAATGTTGACAAAGTTGCGTGGTCTACATTACATGTTGTTGTTGTATATACTTGACAACGGATGTTATTGAAAAATTTGGTATCAATTTGGTATCAGGCGTGTATATTTTTCCTCCGTGTACTTAACAGCATGACACATATTTTTGAAATAAGTGTGAATATTTTCAAATTTAATGTTCATACATACATAATATTTATTTAAATTTTGAAAAAATACTATATTCGTCTAAGTATTCTAACTAGATGATGCATTTTAAAATAAACCAAAAATCATGCATTTTTAACGAAATATTTAAAAACAAATAAATAACATTTATTTTCTTCCGACATATTACTTTAGACTATCCTAAATATTAGGTGGTACATTATCGTTCCTTGTTTTTTCAACCAAAATCAACCTTAGAAAAAATGTGCATAAATGTCTTAAAGCTAAATTTCATAGCAGCTAATTAATTATAAAATGAACATTTTAACAATACTATACTTTTATTGTTTTGTAGTCTAGTATATGCAGTATGTTTATTGTTTTTCGTTAGTCAATTTAATTTTGAAAATGACAAATTGTTAAATGCAGAACAATTACATTTTTTTTTAATAAACTATAAAAGAGATGCAAGACAAAAAAAACATTGATTAATAATAAAAATGTTCTTTTGTGATGTGTATTCATTTGTAGGTTCCCAAGAGTATACACCTGCCCTTGACAACCAGTCTGTCGTCAGCGCCTCGTGTGCTTATGTGTAGTGCGTCGGTGGGTACAGAAGCTTCGGTAACATTACAATTGCGCGATGTTAATTCCAATGACTCAATACAATCCAATCAATCATCATCAGAAGCAGCCGCCGCAGCAGCAACAATTATTACATCAACGTCGACAAATAATCATTATACAGGCGGAACAGGAACAACAGCAACATCTGGGACGACGACAACAACAACAACATTGGATAATGCATTAACCATTGGTTATCCAGATCCAGAAATGTTGGCTGATGTTTTAGGTACATTACAAACAGCATGTAAGTTGAGAGGTCAAAGTAAAATACATATATTAATTACATTTGATTTTAAACACTTTACCAACAACGTTCTTCTATTATTTTGGTTCTCTCTTCTCTCTTCAGCTCTTAAAAATACAAATAATCCCAGTGGTGAGAGTACAAAACAAAATTCCTCCAAACTAACAAATACCAGCGATATTACCAATAACAATTTAAATGGTACGATTAAAAATCGTATAACAATTAGTAAACGCTCCACAAATATTATTAATAATCCCCAAAATACCAGCAGTAATAACAACAGCAACATTATCAACAACAATAGTAGCACTAACAATAACAACAACAATTTTATTCGTGATATTTCCAAAACGACTACCACATCAGCGGTACAAACAGTAACGACCTCAACGAATACTACAACCGCAGTGAATAAAACCAACAGTTATATAAAAAATTGTCTAATACGTAGCAGCAGTTGCAGCAATACTACCAACATAACATCCCTGGCTCAGATAATGAGCAATAGTAGTAATAGCAGCAGCAACAGCAATACCAACAGCAACAATAACAGTCATAGCAATAGTAATAATAATAATAGTAGCAATCAAATCAATAATAGCACAACTATCAGCTGCAACGGTATTAGCAACAATAACAACAACAATAACAATTTAAGTCAACTTAATAACAACAATAACAGCAATACCACCACCACCAACAACAGCAGCAACAATAGCTGTAATAGCAATTTCAGTTCGAGCAGCAACGACAGTTGTTTCAGTTATAGCAGCAATAGTAGTAGCGGCAACTCAGTTGCGCGTAGCATAACATCGTTGAGTCACGGTAGCCGTAAAGTTCCTGGTACATTAACAACAAATCCACCGAAAATCTTAAAGAAAAGCCGTTCGAAAATATCATCACCCAGTCGTCACGGTCCACAGCAGTGTCAGGTGAGTGTTGAATTTTTTGTTTTCTTGCCATGATTAAGTGGTAGCAGTAAATTTTTTGAGTTGCTTAGGAATTTAGTTAAACTCCGGGAAATGATTATACCAAAAATTAACATTTCATTTAGAAATAGTACTAACTTATAACAGAAATAGTACTTTTTTAGATTTTAAAGTACTAAACTAATTGTCATTTAGACTGCACTATAGACTAGACTATAGACTAGTCTATAGACTAGACTATAAACTAGACTATAGACTATAGACTAGACTATAGACTATAGACTAGACTATAGACTAGACTATAGACTACACTATAGACTAGACTATAGACTAGACTATAGACAAGACTATAGACTAGACTATAGACTAGACTATAGACTAGACTATAGACTACACTATTAACTAGACTATAGACTAGACTATAGACTAGACTATAGCCTAGACTATAGACTAGACTATAGACTAGACTATAGACTAGACTATAGACTAGACTATAGCCTAGACTATAGACTAGACTATAGACTAGACTATAGACTAGACTATAGACTAGACTATAGACTAGACTATAGCCTAGACTATAGACTAGACTATAGACTAGACTATAGACTAGACTATAGACTAGACTATAGACTAGACTATAGACTAGACTATAGACTAGACTATAGACTAGACTATAGACTAGACTATAGACTAGACTATAGACTAGACTATAGACTAGACTATAGACTAGACTATAGACTAGACTATAGACTAGACTATAGACTAGACTATAGACTAGACTATAGACTAGACTATAGACTAGACTATAGACTAGACTATAGAGTAGACTATAGACTAGACTATAGACAAGACTATAGACTAGACTATAGACTGGACTATAGACTAGACTATAGACTAGACTATAGACTAGACTATAGACTAGACTATAGACTAGACTATAGACTAGACTGTAGACTAGACTATAGACTAGACTATAGACTAGACTATAGACTAGACTATAGACTAGACTATAGACTAGACTATAGACTAGACTATAGACTAGACTATAGACTAGACTATAGACTAGACTATAGACTAGACTATAGACTAGACTATAGACTAGACTATAGCCTAGACTATAGACTAGACTATAGACTAGACTATAGACTAGACTATAGACTAGACTATAGACTAGACTATAGACTAGACTATAGACTAGACTATAGACTAGACTATAGACTAGACTATAGACTAGACTATAGACTAGACTATAGACTAGACTATAGACTAGACTATAGACTAGACTATAGACTAGACTATAGACTAGACTATAGACTAGACTATAGACTAGACTATAGACTAGACTATAGACTAGACTATAGACTAGACTATAGACTAGACTATAGACTAGACTATAGACTATAGACTATAGACTAGACTATAGACTAGACTATAGACTAGACTATAGACTAGACTATAGACTAGACTATAGACTAGACTATAGACTAGACTATAGACTAGACTATAGACTAGACTATAGACTAGACTATAGACTAGACTATAGACTAGACTATAGACTAGACTATAGACTAGACTATAGACTAGACTATAGACTAGACTATAGACTAGACTATAGACTAGACTATAGACTAGACTATAGACTAGACTATAGACTAGACTATAGACTAGACTATAGACTAGACTATAGACTAGACTATAGACTAGACTATAGACTAGACTATAGACTAGACTATAGACTAGACTATAGACTAGACTATAGACTAGACTATAGACTAGACTATAGACTAGACTATAGACTAGACTATAGACTAGACTATAGACTAGACTATAGACTAGACTATAGACTAGACTATAGACTAGACTATAGACTAGACTATAGACTAGACTATAGACTAGACTATAGACTAGACTATAGACTAGACTAGACTATAGACTAGACTATAGACTAGACTATAGACTAGACTATAGACTAGACTATAGACTAGACTATAGACTAGACTATAGACTAGACTATAGACTAGACTATAGACTAGACTATAGACTAGACTATAGACTAGACTATAGACTAGACTATAGACTAGACTATAGACTAGACTATAGACTAGACTATAGACTAGACTATAGACTAGACTATAGACTAGACTATAGACTAGACTATAGACTAGACTATAGACTAGACTATAGACTAGACTACAGACCAGACTATATTACACTATAGACTAGACAACATAATAGATTACACACTATACTCTCGTTTTATATAAACGGCAATCTTAGAAAAACTAAGGATTTCTGGAATTTTTTGAAGCTTCTTGTTATATATCATAAAAACGCGAAAAGATTTGATGGGAAACCACCCCAAATCATTTGCACATTATGATAGACACATACTTTTTACGCAAATTGTTTTGAAAATATGAATGACATTACTGAAACACGAGACAATAGTTCAATGTCTTCACAGATATCTACATATCTATTTTTTTTAATTAATAGAAAATATTCAACAGAAGATACAAACATATTTCACATAAAAATACCATGAAAGTAATTAGAACAATTTTCTTGTTTTCTTAAAATATAGACTAAATTTCATACATATATGAAGAAAAATATGCTACTAGTATTTTAAAAATAAACATGATTTACTTAATTGGATTTTTCTTGCGTCTACGCATCTTATTAGGCAAACTATTACGAAACTATACCAATTAGTTTCAAAATTGTTTCAATATTTGTAGTTTTTCTGTATGAGGCTTTCTACGCCATAGCAAACAAGTACTCGCACTCTTGACTACTAAATAAAATAAAAATATGAATAAAACCAAAAAATAATAATAAAATGAAAAATCATTCAGACATACAAGTACCCCCTATAATTAAATATTATTCTTGTAGTTGTTGTTGTTGTCTGTCTATTTCCATCTTTCGTCGTCGTACACAAGGGGTACATGTGTAATTGATTTTAGGGTGGCAAGGGTTAGTATTGGGGGGTTAAGAAAAAAAACATGTCTAATTAAAATATACACGTTTTAAACAATTTTTAAATTTTGTTGTTGTTTTAGTTTCTTTCTTTATTTAGTTGTTACGTTTCATTTGTAAATGTTTAATTTTATTTTCTTAATTTTATAATATTTATCTCATTTCTTTGCTCTTTTCCCTTTTCAGATTTGTAATAAAATTTTTGGAAATGCATCAGCACTGGCCAAGCACAAACTGACACACAGTGACGAACGGAAATACGTGTGTGTTATGTGCTCAAAGGCATTTAAGCGACAAGATCATTTGTAAGTTTATTTTTGCTTTCAGTTTTTTGAAATGATAAATATTTTAAATAATGCATATATGTATGTAATTATTAGTTTTTTGTCAATTGTACACTTTCGTAAAAATCTAAATACTTTCCAAATCAAGTCGATCACATTGAAGTAATATTCGAGTTTGTTTTTGCTCACGCATACGTACGAGTTAAAGAAAGACTAAAAGAGAGCTCATTTTCAGTTTTGATACATAGTAGTCTAAGTAGTCTATAGTCTAGCCTATAGTCTACTGTATAGTTTAGTCTATAGTCTAGTCTATAGTCTAGTCTATAGTCAAGTCTATAGTCTAGTCTAGTCTATAGTCTAGTCTATAGTCTAGTCTATAGTCTAGTCTATAGTCTAGTCTATAGTCTAGTCTATAGTCTAGTCTATAGTCTAGTCTATAGTCTAGTCTATAGTCTAGTCTATAGTCTAGTCTATAGTCTAGTCTATAGTCTAGTCTATAGTCTAGTCTATAGTCTAGTCTATAGTCTAGTCTATAGTCTAGTCTATAGTCTAGTCTATAGTCTAGTCTATAGTCTAGTCTATAGTCTAGTCTATAGTCTAGTCTATAGTCTAGTCTATAGTCTAGTCTATAGTCTAGTCTATAGTCTAGTCTATAGTCTAGTCTATAGTCTAGTCTATAGTCTAGTCTATAGTCTAGTCTATAGTCTAGTCTATAGTCTAGTCTATAGTCTAGTCTATAGTCTAGTCTATAGTCTAGTCTATAGTCTAGTCTATAGTCTAGTCTATAGTCTAGTATATAGTCTATAGTCTAGTCTATAGTCTAGTCTAGTCTATAGTCTAGTCTAGAGTCTAGTCTATAGTCTAGTCTAGAGTCTAGTCTATAGTCTAGTTTAGTCTATAGTCTAGTCTATAGTCTAGTCTATAGTCTGGTCTATAGTCTAGTCTATAGTCTAGTCATTAGTCTATAGTCTAGTCTATAGTCTAGTCATTAGTCTAGTCTATAGTCTAGTCGATAGTCTAGTCTATAGTCTAGTTTATAGTCTAGCCGATAGTCTAGTCTATAATCTAGTCTATAGTTTAGTCCAGTATATAGTCTAGTCTATAGTATAGTCTATAGTCTAGTCTATAGTCTAGTCTATAGTCTAGTCTATAGTCTAGTCTATAGTCTAGTCTATAGTCTAGTCTATAGTCTAGTCTATAGTCTAGTCTATAGTCTAGTCTATAGTCTAGTCTATAGTCTAGTCTATAGTCTAGTCTATAGTCTAGTCTATAGTCTAGTCTATAGTCTAGTCTATAGTCTAGTCTATAGTCTAGTCTATAGTCTAGTCTATAGTCTAGTCTATAGTCTAGTCTATAGTCTAGTCTATAGTCTAGTCTATAGTCTAGTCTAGTCTAGTCTATAGTCTAGTCTATAGTCTAGTCTATAGTCTAGTATATAGTCTAGTCTATAGTCTAGTCTATAGTCTAGTCTATAGTCTAGTCTATAGTCTAGTCTATAGTCTAGTCTATAGTCTAGTCTATAGTCTAGTCTATAGTCTAGTCTATAGTCTAGTCTATAGTCTAGTCTATAGTCTAGTCTATAGTCTAGTCTATAGTCTATAGTCTAGTCTATAGTCTAGTCTATAGTCTATATAGTCTATAGTCTAGTCTATATAGTCTATAGTCTAGTCTATAGTCTAGTCTATAGTCTAGTCTATAGTCTAGTCTATAGTCTAGTCTATAGTCTAGTCTATAGTCTAGTCTATCTAGTCTATAGTCTAGTCTATAGTCTAGTCTATAGTCTAGTCTATAGTCTAGTCTATAGTCTAGTCTATAGTCTAGTCTATAGTCTAGTCTATAGTCTAGTCTATAGTCTAGTCTATAGTCTAGTCTATAGTCTAGTCTATAGTCTAGTCTATAGTCTAGTCTATAGTCTAGTCTATAGTCTAGTCTATAGTCTAGTCTATAGTCTAGTCTATAGTCTAGTCTATAGTCTAGTCTATAGTCTAGTCTATAGTCTAGTCTATAGTCTAGTCTATAGTCTAGTCTATAGTCTAGTCTATAGTCTAGTCTATAGTCTAGTCTATAGTCTAGTCTATAGTCTAGTCTATAGTCTAGTCTATAGTCTAGTCTATAGTCTAGTCTATAGTCTAGTCTATAGTCTAGTCTATAGTCTAGTCTATAGTCTAGTCTATAGTCTAGTCTATAGTCTAGTCTATAGTCTAGTCTATAGTCTAGTCTATAGTCTAGTCTATAGTCTAGTCTATAGTCTAGTCTATAGTCTAGTCTATAGTCTAGTAGTCTAGTCTATAGTCTAGTCTATAGTCTAGTCTATAGTCTAGTCTATAGTCTAGTCTATAGTCTAGTCTAGTCTAGTCTATAGTCTAGTCTATAGTCTAGTCTATAGTCTAGTCTATAGTCTAGTCTATAGTCTAGTCTATAGTCTAGTCTATAGTCTAGTCTATAGTCTAGTCTATAGTCTAGTCTATAGTCTAGTCTATAGTCTAGTCTATAGTCTAGTCTATAGTCTAGTCTATAGTCTAGTCTATAGTCTAGTCTATAGTCTAGTCTATAGTCTAGTTTATAGTCTATAGTCTAGTCTATAGTCTAGTCTATAGTTAGTCTATAGTCTAGTCTAGTCTAGTAGTCTAGTCTATAGTCTAGTCTATAGTCTAGTCTATAGTCTAGTCTATAGTCTAGTCTATAGTCTAGTCTAGTCTAGTCTATAGTCTAGTCTATAGTCTAGTCTATAGTCTTGTCTATAGTCTTGTCTATTGTCTATTCTGTAGTCTAGTCTATTGTCTAGACTCTAGTCTATAGTTAATTCTATATTATATAGTCTTGTCTATAGCCTAGTCTGTAGTTAATTCTATATTATATAGTCTAGTCTATAGCTTAGTCTATAGTCTAGTGTTTTGTCTAGACTCTAGTCTATAGTTAATTCTATATTATATAGTCTTGTCTATAGCCTAGTCTGTAGTTAATTCTATATTATATAGTCTAGTCTATAGCCTAGTCTATAGTCTAGTGTTTTGTCTAGTCTATGGTCTAGCCTATAGTCTAGTCTAAAAAATGTAAAATATTGAAATTCTCTAGACTTTGTGTTTCCGGCTAGAAATCGTGTTTTGGATTTGATCATAGCTTCTGAAATATCAGGCATTATTTGTTTAGAATATCGAACTACATTTTTTTCTAATTTCAAAGTTTTAATTTAAAATTTCTCCCCAAATTTTAAAAATGATGTGTATAAGTAAATTGAAATAAACTATACCACCTTACTTAGTTCTTAGGAATATGTTATAAAAAAAAAACTTATTAAACAATCTGAAATATTTGTATTTAAAATCTTTGACAGAAATGGACATATGATGACACATAGAAATAAAAAACCATATGAATGTAAAGCTGAAGGTTGTGGAAAATCATATTGTGATGCTCGTTCATTAAGAAGACATACAGAAAATCATCACGCAGGTGTTATAGCACCACACAATCATCAGCTCTTAATATCCAATAATAATTCCAATTCAAATTTAAGTTTATCCCCAGCGACAGCAAATGGTAAGTTTTAAATGAAAATAGTATGCACATTAATGAGTAAATTTATTTTTATGTTTTCTTATGTAATGTTATACTTTTACATATATTTTCACACTCTCAATAGGAGACGCCAGTTCACCAGATGGTGCCACTTGTTTAGGTACATATCTTTCAAACGGTGGTACAGTGGTTGATGCCGCTACTGGTTTAGCTTTGACCGAAGAAGAACTTAAAGCTTTGAATGTGCCGCTTAAGACAGGCGTAACTTTATTATCACCCACATCGACTACATCCTCCATGTCGTCCTCTAGCAGTATGTCGAATGGTCCGGGTGCCACCATAACTCTGACCGATAATAGTGGTAATTTGGATGGAGAAGGTTTGACGCGAGAACAGTTGGATTTGATAAGTAAAATAATGAGACAAACTAAACAAACCACTGCACAAGTGACAGTATCTTCGCCAACCAGTAGTCAGTCGTATAAAATAGATACCAATCCCCCAGCCACGGCTCAAACACAAAATTCCCGACCCAGAACCTGGAATATGCAATTGGTGGGACTTAACTATTTTTTTCAATTAAAAACCTGTTAAAAAAATATTTAATTGTATTTTTTGTTTTAGCTAAATTCCTCCCAAAATGTTGCCATTACCGTTGATGAGGTCAATGCCGATAATATCAATGATTCCTCTGCCAATTCCCAAAACAAAATCAAAGAGGATGAAATTGAAATAGATTTATCTAACACCATTAATTCCAATCTTTTCAATTTAGTTAAAATTGATCAGAAGCCAGTAGAGTGTAATTTATGCCATCGCAAATTTAAAAATGTACCCGCCCTTAATGGTCACATGCGTTTACATGGCGGCTATTTTAAAAAGGATCCAGAAACCAAAAAGAGTGAAAAGAAGGAGAACAGTGGTCCTCCATTGCAGACAGCAAGTATTGGTGTAAGAGCCTTGATTGAAGAAAAGATTATTAGCAAAAGAAGTAAAGATTTAAATAAGGTAACAACAAATACAATTAAGAAAAAATTTAACAAATTTTTCAATATTTATTCTTTTAAAATATTTGTTTATGTCAGGGTGCCTTTGTAGTCCCCGCACCACCCACAAGTAGTAACCAAAGTAATACAACTACCATACGTAGATCCATTAGTGATTTGGATAGTTTCCTTAATCCCAAGACACAACCGAACAGTACAACTACAACAAATCAACAACAAAATTCCACACAACTACAGCAACCGCAGCAGCAGCAGCAACAATTACCAGCGGTTACAACTATCAAAAATAATCCCAAATCTAATATTAATGTTCAAGATATAAATTTGCCACAAAGTATCGAAATATATAGTACTAAGCAGCAACAACCCCAACAACAGCAGCAACAACTTCATCATCAGCAGCAACAAAAGACAATGAATAATATTGGGGTGGGTACTACAGCCACCACCCTAAATGCCGAACGTAGTGCAACGAAAATAACTACAACAACAGCAGCAACGATTAATACAACGACAACACGAAGTACATCAACCGATCCAAAAGATTCGACTTTAATCGAATTACTAAAGCGGGGAACACGCATAGCAGTCACCCAAAAACAGCCAAACAATAATACACCCTTGGGTGGTGTAACCCGCCAGATTATAACGAATAAAAATAATTGTAGTGTCATTATACCCTCGGAAGTCCAGGTGGTATCGACCAAGGGCAAAATCAAGAAAGACGATCATATACAAATGTCAAATGCCACTAATGTAACCCTGCCCGATGGCACACCCTTGTCACTGACTATAGCCCAAGGGGCTGATAGCAACAGTGAGGTCTATACCGTCACCTATACGAGTGATGGCTCGGCCTTATTTGGTGAAAACGAGGTTTATAATGTAAGTGAAGCCGAGATGTTGTTACAAACTGTCGATACCATGCAATTATTGAATGACGCTGGAGACAATTTAAAACCTGAACATTCCGAACAATTTGAGATCTTGGATAATAAAATTGAGCAGCAGAATTGTGTGGATCAACAGCAGCAACAGCAACAACTCCACCAGCAGCAACAGCAGTTGCAACAAAACTCAAATCAGTGTCAAACTACACAAACTTTACCAAACTTCCAACATTTCCATTCCAAAGAATTAATCATACAAAATCCAACGTTGATCAATCACCAGCAGATTAGAACAAATACCTTGTCCCTGCCACAAGATATGAAAAATCAATTTGCTTCCAGCCTCAATTCACCCATACATTCTCCTCTAGCTTATCCCACACCACCCTCAAGTCATGAAAATGTTACACAGACCTCCCCCTATATTGAGGACAATCACCACTTTAACGATGCACCAAACATCTTCTTCAGTGAGTCATTAATTTCCTCCAATAATGCCGGAGAAAGTGAAAATGACAAAATTATGAAATTGAAAAGTGTGCTCGAAGATAATTCCTTTGATTCCAATATTAAGGTGGAAGATTTACTAAATGGTACTGATCCCGATACAGAATGCGATTTGCGAGAATTTGCCGAAGCCAATCTTTCCTTCCTAGATGAGGATCAAGAATTTCTAAATGATTCTCGTAATGCTACATCACCGCTCTCGGAATCATTCTTTACCAGTGGTATAGGCACTGCCGAGGAGGTGAAAGAGGTGTTGCGTGAGGTCTTAACCGAAGATCAGCTGAATTTGAATTGTGAAAATCAGGGAGAAAATATAATAGATTTATATTATTTACCCGGTCTAAGTTTACAATCACAAATGATGCCCAATTCTGAAGATCCTCTATTGTCGTCTTCACCGCGAGATTTTGGCCAGCAGCAAAAATTGCAAAATCCCATGCCTCAGCAGCAGCAGCAACAGACTCAGCCGCAAACGCAACAACAACAGCAGCAACCACAAATCCAACACATTCCTCATCAACAGCCACAACAACAGATTATACAATACAACAATCAGCAACAGCTAACGCATTCAGCACAAACAGTTAAAATATCTTTAGATACAAATGCACAAACTTCTACTGGTTCCACTAATTCCAACTCCGAAATAAATCAATTGATTTTGAATATACCCTCGAATGTCATACAGAATTCCTGCAATGCAAACTCTGCAAATTCCGCTTCCTCCTCCTCCTCCTCATCTACAACTACTATACAATATAATGTACAAAATTTACCACAAGTACAAAATCAATCTAATATTCAACAACACCCACAACTTATGATGCAGCAGCAACAGCAACAACAACATCAGACACAATATCTGACATCCACAACCATAAACTCACTTAATGAGGCCTTAATGCAGCCTATAATCTACACTAGTGGTACCACCGATAAAATGGAACTAAAATTAGATAACAACCCCAACACTACTAACCCACAATTGCAACAAAATATTACTAGTCTCAATAAACCCCTAGAAATTGTGAAAAATTCCGCTTCCTCGACTCACATAATATTTCCTCAGCAAACTCACGCCTCAACTACGACTGTTAGCACTTCCTTGCAGCCACTGTCTAATCAAACCAACTCTATATTGAAAAGACGTTTAAAAGGTCATTCCTCATTGGAGTCTACATCAACACATCCTTCTTATTCCAAATATCAGGCGTTGTCGCCCTACAAATCAAAATTGCGCAAACCTTCACGCACCCATTATACACCGGCGCCCATACTGAATCCCGAACGTAAGGGTCATGGTTTGTACTGTAATGTTTTAAAACAATTGGGTTGTTCCCTCTTGAGTTTCGACAACTTCGATGATGATTTTGATGATCCAGTGGGTTTGGTCGATTTTTCCGATGAATCAAAAGTCAATTTGGGTTCTGCTTACCAAGCCTCTATACCTGCATTTAATGAAAATGTCTGCTCTACATCGGCTATTGAGGAAACGGTTGGTTGTGATCTAATGTGGAATCCGGAAGTCCAAAAGGATGAAAAGATTTTAATGAGATTCATTGACTTGAGTAAATCTTCAGCCGTGCCATTGGGCAGTCATTCTGAAGAGGTGGCTTTGGAGGCCTTGCTAAAGGCCCAAGGTAATACAGCAACTGCTGTTTTGAGTTTACTACAGACCCAGTCGAACTCATTCCAAATAAAATGGTCTTCGCCAGAGTTGGAGATATTCCTTAAGGGTTTGGAGAAGCACGGGAAGGAGTTTAGTAAGATTTCCAAAGAGGTAAGTCTTGATTAAAGCAGTCTTTTCTTACAATTTATACATTTGATTTCGAAACAGCTTGGTACCAAGACAACTGGCGAATGTGTACAAATGTATTATTTCTGGAAGAAATTATGCGTGGACTACAAGGTAACCCACCTAAAAACTGAAACACTACCACAAAATCATGCCAATGATCCCAAACCTTATGTATGCGAAATACCAGATTGTTCAGCGGTAAGTAATAATATTTACCCAAAAATATTTCTACATTTTAAAGGAACTGTAAAGCTCTATTAACAACTAAACCATATCATTCTTTTATCAAATTCTTCCAAATTTAATGCACAACCATTGCAGAGCTTTTCTTCTAAAGCTGCTCTGCATGGTCATACTCGCATCCATACCTATGGCCGCAATAGCCACCACAATAATCAACACAGTAACAATAATAATACGAATGCAACTGCAACAACTACTAATACCAATGCAAATTCCTCGCAAGGTTCTGCTACCAATAGTAATAATCATCCAATGCATAATAACTCCCAGTCTAGCCATGCCAACACGGCGAATACAAATCAAAAAGATTCCAATGCCAATAAAGACAATACCGAATTCCCCTGCAAGGTGTGCGGCAAGTAAGATTCCCCCAACTCAAATTACCACTACTACCACTATTCGTTCATTAAAATATTCTAAACCCCAAAAAAAGCAACAATTCAATTCAAATTTTATTTGAGTTTGTATTGTATTCCGCCAAAAGAGAATTAGTTCTCTTTTACATTTTTTGTTTTATTTTTTGTGATTTTGTATTTTAGTTTTAACGTTACGAATTTTTGGTTTTTTCGAAACAAGTCATTTAAAAAAGAGATAAATGACTGCGTAAAGTAAAGCACGTTAAAATTAGTTTTGTTTTTTTAAAACTTTTAATTTCCTTTAAGTTTTATTCAGTTAAATAATTTTTTTGCCTGTAGCTGAGTAACGTCTTAAATACCTTGTTACATTAAATATCATTATCCCTTACAAAATGTACCATTAAAAGGTACTAAATTAATCCCCTGAAAAACATCTTAATCATCATTACCACATTACTGCAATCCCTATATTCCATTAATTAATGTATTGTATACTGAAGTTGCTGAATATTTGTCTGAATTTTTTTGTTTTTGTTTCCTTTTTAATTTTTGTTCCCTAGTAATTATTACATCATATAATAATTGTTGTTTCTTTTTTATTTATTTGTTGTTGTATTTTTTCAAATATTTATTATTATATATATTTTTTCTACCAAAAAAAAAAAAAAAAAACAAATAAAAAAATATCGTACGAAAATCTGTGAAATTCTCAAATTAAAGCGAAGATTCACTACTCATAGAAGTTTTTAATCAAAATCGTTGAATTTGAAACTTCGTTCAGCCTCCAAAATAGCATTACAAATATGAAAGTACGAAAGTATAAAACACTATAAAGTCAGTCCATAACTATTTGAACGATGTCTTAAATACTATATAAAAAATTGTTAAAACAACTTGGATTAATTGTAAGTGTTATGGCAATTGTTTTATTTTCTTTTTCATTTTATTTATACTTCTTTTGTTACAAATTTTTTTCCTTAAAAAAATACAAGACAATTTTTTAAAAAATTCCCTAAACCTATCTTAATTTTCTTTTTAAATCATACAAAAAAAACAAATATTTTTAAACAAATTCTGCCTATTTTGTAAATACTTTTGTAATTATTTAAAAATATTTCCGCTATCGAAAAACTACTTTTATCGATATTTTATTTATATTACACCTTATTCTCTATAATTATAGGGTTTTATAGGACTATTTGAAGTGATAGATCTAAAACTTTAGGTAATATGTGTGAACACATATATAGTCAAACACGTTATAGCGGAAGCTAAAACAATCAGTTTCGAATCATTTCCTCACTTACACAGAAAAAAAATGTTCACATGTCCTTTACTGAAGTCTAGCTAATCGTCTGGATAATGTTTTGAACTATAATATACTTCACAATTTAGACTGTATTCTGGACTAAAGTCTAGACTATAATCTAGATTATAGTCCGCACTTTGTATTTGTACGGACATGCCAGGACTACAATCTAATTCATAGTCAGAACGATAGCCTAGTATTGTATTCTAGTCTGTAGTCGGGATTATAGTCCAGTCATTAGTCAGTACTACTTCAGTACTTTAGTCATTACTATATTATAGTCTAAAGTCTGGTCTATACTCACATCTAGAGTCAAAACCATATAACGTTAGTTTACACTCGGGACCATAAGATAGTCAATAGAAGGGACTTTATAATAATCTATAGTCAGGATTACAACCTAGTCTATAGATAGGACTATAGTGAAGTCTATAGTTACGGCTTTAGTCTGGTGTATGGCCTGGAATATATTCTAGTCTAGAGACTGAAAGATAGAAGTCTTTAGTATGGTATAGTCTAATCTATAGTCTAGTCTATAGTCTAGTCTATAGTCTAGTCTATAGTCTAGTCTATAGTCTAGTCTATAGTCTAGTCTATAGTCTAGTCTATAGTCTAGTCTATAGTCTAGTCTATAGTCTAGTCTATAGTCTAGTCTATAGTCTAGTCTATAGTCTAGTCTATAGTCTAGTCTATAGTCTAGTCTATAGTCTAGTCTAGTCTATAGTCTAGTCTATAGTCTAGTCTATAGTCTAGTCTATAGTCTAGTCTATAGTCTAGTCTATAGTCTAGTCTATAGTCTAGTCTATAGTCTAGTCTATAGTCTAGTCTATAGTCTAGTCTATACTCTTGTCTATTGTCTAGTCTATAATCTAGTCTGTAGTCTATTTATTCTATAGTCTAAGCTATAGTCTAATCTATTGCCTAGTCCATAGCCTAGTCTACAGATTAACTATAGTTTATTCAAAAGGCTAGTCTATATTTTGCTCTATAGGCTGGGCTATATTCTAATCTACAGCCTGAACTACTGTCTTGCACTTACCCTGAACTAAAATCTAATTTATACTATAGAAAAGTCAGCTGTTAATAAATTATTTGAATTCGACACAATATCTACTGATCTACTGAGCAAAAATAATAGGGACTTTATCCCATATTTATATTGTTAGCAAAAAGGTTCACAAAGCACTTTAAACTTTTGTTCCTCAGCTTAACCTTAATACAGTTTTTTCTTTCTTACTTTTAAGTTTCAATTATAATTATATTTTCTCTTTAAACTTTTGCGTTCTTTGAACATTTCTTTAACTTAATTTTCTTAAATATCACTGTGACTCCTCTCTCTGTCTAACTTCATAAAACCACTAATATAAAAAAGATAAGTAAAAATATTTAAACAAAACTTAAATATTATTCAAAACACTAGCTGAGCATGAAAACTGAAAAATCGCTACTCTGTTCTATCATTGAAATGTAAGCATGTGCCATGATGTGTAATCTACTATTTCATGGGGCTTCTAAACTAAATGTCTATTATATTAATATTATTGTTTTCGTTTAATTTTTATATTTATTTAATTTAATTCCTCTAAAAACTATAAATTATTGATGGCATATTCCTTTCTTAATAAAACATATTTTTTCAGAGTATTCAATAAAATTAAGAGTCGTAGTGCCCATATGAAGACCCATCGTGCAACAGATAATGAAACAACTGTACAAATTACAAATAATCAAAATCAAATAATACAACAACAGCAGCAGCAACAACAACAGCAACAAACACAACAATTATAAAAAATTTTTTAATAAAATTTTTTTTTCATAAGCAAGATACATAAAATTCCTAAAGAATTAATTATAATTTGTAAACAAAGGAAAAAAATATTAATTGTAGATACAAAAAGAATTCTTAAAAAAAAAATTATGACAATCGCCCGTTAAAAGAAAAATCTTAATTAATTAAATTTAATATTTTTTATGTTAATTTTTTTTAACTTTTTCAATCATTTTAAATGATTCGAAATTAATTTTATGCAGCATTTCTTAAAATTCGTAAAATATAAAGAAATAAAATTATTTTAAACTAGAAAAAGTGAAAAACTCATTTTTAAAATTAGTTGAACTTTAAAAAGTAAATATTAGAAAAAAAGCGTAAATATTTTAAACTTTTTATTTATTGTTTGTTTACCAAAGAAAAATCAAATCAAATAATTCTAGTCATTGTTGTCAAATTTTTAACATAAAATAAAATTTTAACTAATTTTTTCTTTTAGTATACAAGTGATAAAGAGTGAGATTAAAAACCCCCTCCAGAAATATGTATTTTCCCCAAGAAAAACAAAAACACAAAATTAAAATAATTATTATTTATAAATAAATTTGTGTGTTTTTAAAAAACTAGTTACTTAATTAGTTTAGAATAAAAACACAATAAAAAGTAGTTTTTATTTAAAATCCAACATCTGTCAGTCAGTCAGTTAGTCAGTCTAACTACATAATTACTATTTAATGTTGTTAATGTTTGTAATTATTTTTTAAGCCTAAAAATACACACACTAAAATCAATTTGTATATATTTAAATAAATATATTAAATACAATTTATAAAGAAAAGTTTATTTGTCCTAAACACACAAAAACAAACAAATTATGCCAAAAAGACAATTTATTTTTTAATTAAGTCTTCAATACTGAAAAAAATGCAAAAAAAAAAACACAAAAAAACTTTCTTTAACTATTAAGTTATAAACAAATAAAATAGTATGCCAAAAATTAAGTAAATTATTAAGTAATTAATTACTCAATACCAAAGAATATAATTATATAATTAATATGTAATATTATTAATTTATAAGTATGTATTATATTAAGCTTTAACCTTTGTAATACTTTAAGCTCTATTTTTTATTTATTTGTCGAATGTATTTATTTTAAATCTATTCACATTCTATTCTTTTTTATAGTTCTTTTTTCTAACGATTTTACCAATAAGGCGGCATTTTGAAGAAATAGTGAAATTTAAAATTTTTTAATTATATTGAATTATTTAGTAAAATTGTTCGGTGTTGTATGAGCTTTTTATTAGCTATTTAAACGAAACTGAGTCCCAGAAACCTTTTCTTCTAAGAGAACTTTCAATGTCCAATTTTCAAGAATAAAAAGTGATACTTTTAACTTTTTGCAGCATGAAAAATTTCATGTACTAGATCTAATAGCTTCTCAGATATAAACATTTCATATGGGAGGTACCATGCCCCCGACTGTAGTCCGCCAATTTTTCCCCAAATGTTCACATGGATGTCAAGGTTGTTCGTGCAAAATTTGAGAATTCTAGCGCTAATAGTTTCAAATATAAACGAATTTTTATATATAATTCATATGATAGGTGCCACGCCCTATCCCCCTAGTATGCCCACTTTTTGTCTTAAATATTCACATGTATACTAAAGTGATACCGAAACAATTTGAGAACTCTAAGTATTCTGTTTTCTCAGATATTCTTATTTAAAATTTTTATTGTTACAGTCTTAAAGTATACTAATCGAGTCAGAATCCCTTTTGAATCGATTTGGCTTCGTCGGACCGTATGTCCATCCTTGCGTGTGTCGGTCTGTGTTTCCATTTAAACCTTGTAACCCTGAATATGGCTTTTGAGCTCATAATTATGTTAAATGTACTTATATCTCAACAAAAATCGGCAAAACTTAGTTTTATATACATAAGTCTGAATGGTACTGCTGATTTTCGTAACGGTCGGGCTTTATTTGACCCTGATCGATCTTCATTGGTCCATACAAAGCCCCCTTCAGACATAATCACTGGTGTAAGGTTGGTCATGCCCGACTATACATTCTTACGTGATTTCATATATATATATATAAAGAAGAAGATATCTGAAATTACATCGCCCATAATACAATTATGTTTCTACGAAATGACAGATAAAGTGTTCCAGCTTCATTGTTATATCCGAATATTCGAAATTAGTCTAAATTCCTTTGTCCACTTTTTTATATATATGTATGTGCCTGTAAACCTGTGTGTCCAGAAAGAATACCTACCATTATATTAAGCTGGGGCTTATTCATTTTGAGCACGCTTTTCTTTGGGCCCTCTTCATAGGATTTGTGTGGTTCTATCCACAGTTCTATTTTTTTATCATTTTATACAGTACTTCCGCTGAGAAGAGCAGCAATTGTCTTTGGCACACATTTCAGTTTGAACCATTAGTGGAGCCTTCTAGGAGAGGTCTTGATGTTGATTATCTTTAACTTAGAATAGTGAACGATTGGGGTCGGTCTTATTCATTTTAAGGACGTTTCTCTTTGGATTCTCTTCCTAGGATTTTAATGGTCCTATCTACCGTTCCATTAATTCATAATTTTATCCTGTACTTCCGACACATTTCAATTCGAACCTTAGTAGATCTGTTTAATCTCTGAAGTTAACAATCTCCCTTAAATATTTCTGAAAAGTTTCCGTTTCTAGAATTTTACTTCAGTAGAGTCTGGACATAAATCCATTAACCTTAGGCCTATTTCCATAAGATAAATTGGTTATGTTCAAAGAGTTATATGAAGACCTATTCCCATTTTTTCATTTTGTTTAATTATACCCTACACCACTATAGTGGGGAAGGGTATAGCCACCTTAAAGTATATCAATCAGCTCAGAATCATTTTCTGAGTCAATTAAGCTATGTCCGTCCCTCCGTCAGTCTGTGTGTACAATTATTGTACAATCTCTATAAAACTCAGCAAATCTTAGTTTTATATCAGTTAAATTGCTGATTTTCGTAATGATGGAGGCTCATTTGACCCTAGTGCACATACAAAGTCCCCTTCAGAAAATGATTTGAAGTTGGAAACACTTTAAACACTACTATCACTTTTAAATTCTGTATAAATAATAATGTCATCGTAAATTGCTCTACCAAAATTTATACGGATAGGACCATGTTTACCTTTCCCCCCATATAACCCCTCTTTCAGAAAATCACTATTTTTTGGTAACAAATTGTTAAAATATTTCAGAATTAAGGCAAAAAGCTTTATTATTAGAAAAAGTAATCCACATTTTTAACATACTCACTGGTGTAGGGTATCATATGGTCGGCCATGCCCGAATATATATTCTTACTTGTTTTGTTTTGCATTCTATCAGAAAGAACAATTTTACTATTCTATAATAAGGTGGCCATCGTCCACGGTCGGTTATTGGAGCATGAAAGGATTTCGATATTATTAGCTAAGGGGGGAAGGGGTCAATCCACTTTAGTAGTTTTATACTTAATGATTGATGTTATGTGTAAAAAAGCTCTAAATACAACACTGACTATGTTTTAAATAGTTTTCAATATTGTAAAAATTTGATTTGAAATAATAAAATGCCTGCAAATAATTTTGAAAATAAAAAAATTAAACAAAAATCTTAAAACTATTAAATAAAAAAAAAAATAATTAATTACTCCTCACTCTCACCTAACTAACTAAATTAACATATTTTAGCTTACACCTAAAAAAAACTTAGTTGAATTTTCCTCTCTCTCTTAACAATTAAACTATATAAAAATAATTATTAACAAATAAAAAAAAAAATAATTAAATTATAATTCAACTTTATTAAACAAAAAAATAAATAAAAATTAAACTATTAGCAATTTTCTATGGTTGTATTGTAACACAAACACACACACGTACACATGATGCTCTTATTTAGCAAAAAAATAATAATTTATTTAAATTAAATTATTAGAAAAAAAAACAAACTAAAACTAAAGAAAAATTTACAATAAAATTGTAAACAAAATTTCTAAATAAAAAACACTCAAGTATTTATTTTCTATTTATTTAATTAATTTATTATACTTTTCACACTTTCTTTTTCTATATAACATAATTTTCCATCAATGCCTTCTTTAAAAATATATATAAATATAAAAAATATTATTAATTACTTAAACTAATAAATGTAAAATTAAAAGTCAACCTTTTAAATAAGTCAGAAAAAAAACTAAATAAAAAAAATTTATTAAGTATTATATATTAAAAATAAATTAAAACCACCTTAAGAAATATTTATTTATTTCTATAAAAATTAACAACAACAAGAAAATTAAATAAATTAAATAAACAAAAACTTAAATGTTATTAGACTTTAAATAATATATTTTTATTTTTAACATAATAGTGCAATAAGCAGAAACACAAATAAATAATTAATTAAAAATTAATTAATTTAAATAAAAAACTTTGTTGTTTAATAATTAAGTAAATAAGAGAGAGTATAAAGTATTCTAACTTTTTTTCTCTCTCTCTCTCTTTGTATCTGTAACTTTAAGTGTAAAAGTGTTGTTAATTTTCTACTATCTATTACTATTAATACATTATAACTTATTAAAATAAGTTTTAAGTTTTAAAAAATTTCCACAACCACACACACACACACAAAGTAAATTATAAAACAAAAAAATTAGCAAAAATTTTATGTAAAGCAAGAGGCAATTCTTATGACTATCAGATCAAGTGAAAAATATTTATTAATAATTAAATGTTTTAATTATAATTATATTTTTAAGTTAATTGTTTTTTGTGTTACTTATTTGTTTTATTTTTTAGTTTAAATTTATTACATTTATTATATAAAATATTTGGAAAATAAACAAAATAATATTATTATTTAAAACATTTTTTTTAAATTATAACAATTTTATTTCTTTTATTTTTTTATAATTTCTATAGGCCGTTAAAAGAGGTTGAAGTTTGAGGATTATAAGTCTACCTTATACAAAAAATTTAGGGAAAAAGCCCTTAAATGAACGAACACCTCGGATTTTACGAGTTTTGCTCATGATCATCTGTTCGATTCATAATATATCATTTTCCATCTGATTTAAGGATCACGTATTTTAAAGTTATAACAATATCTAAAAACAATTAGAAACTTTTCCATGAAATTTTTACCCTAAAAATCCACTTTTCTATAAAATAATGTTTCTTATTAAAAAAAAGTTTCTATTTTCTTTTTCATGTATTTAAAAACAATATACAATTAGGACAAAAAAAGCTTATTCTCCAAACCCGAAACTTTTCTATGAAACTTTTACCCCAAATATCAACTTTTCTATAAAAAAACGTTTCTTATTAAAAAGCTTTTCTTACTAAAAATTTATTTTTTATATTTGGAAACAAGCTTCTAGAACGAATATTTTTTAAATTAAATGCTTTTTAAAAAAAGCTTTTTCACATATTTGAACAATATTTAAAACCCATGTACAACTAGGGAAAAAAGCTTATTCCCCAAAACGGAAACTTTTGCACGAAATTTTTATCCAAAAAATTCATTTTTCTTATTAAAAAGTTTATTATTGATATTTATAGAACGAATATTAAAAAAAAAAAAACAATTCTTCTTCGAAAATTTTTATTAAATATTTTTTTAAAAAGCTTTTTTATATATCTTATAAATATTTAAAAACAATGTACATTTAGAACAAAAAAGCTTGTTCTCCAAAACGAAAACTTTTCCACGAAATATTTACCCTAAAAATCCACTTTTCTATAAGATAATGTTTCTTATTAAAAAGCTTTTCTTATTAAAAAGTTTATCATTTTATTATAAAAAAGCTTCTAGAAAGAATATTTTTCTCAAAGAAGATCCTTTTATAAAAAA